TGACCCCATTGGTGCCTGTGTACCATCTGACCACGTTCCCTTCATCAGCACTCCCCATGAATTCAGACTCCCTCCAAACGACCGGCCCAGGCTCCCCAGTTCTTCCCAGCCATCTAGCCTGTCCCCCCCTCCAGCTGCAGCGTATGTAGGAAGGCACATCCACGCCGGGCCCCGCTCATCACGATAGCCGATGGCCATAGCCATCCTGTAGTGGGCGCTTACTCTGTGTGTCAGACACTTTCCACAGTGTTTCAGTCACTCCTGGTAATCATCTTGGTCATTGGATATTATGCCCACGTTTTCAAATCACACCACTAACATTTGGTAAGCCTTTACTATTTGGGTACCAACCCTGTGCTTAGCACGCCATTGCTGTCTCTCCCTCATCCCCAAACCCCTGGCTGGTGGGCACTCATCCCCCACATTGACCACCCAGGAAACATGCTTCCGGAGGTTAGCCTCTCCCATTAGGCCGAGGGGCTGGGATCTGACTGAAGGGTGTGGCTCGTGCAGCACCGAGCCCTGGCCCGTCACCTGCCATTTGGATCGTAGAACCCAGATTCCAGCCGCCCCCAGGAGGCCGACCTGCTGCCCCCTCTGCCAGGCTGGCTTCCAGCTCCTCCTGGACGCCAGCATGCAGGCGAGGCTCACTGCACGGAGGTGCCTCCTGTGTCCTCAGTCCCTTCCACTGTCCCCTCAAGCCAGCATCCCACCTGCACAGAAGACCAAAGACCGCTTTCAGAGGAGGACAGTGGGCCATCTCTGGGCCTTCTGGGTGGGCTTTATCCTTTCCGGTCCGATATGAGGAACGATGGTTCCCAGCGTTGCTGGGGATCAGTGCTGGTAATGTGTCTTAAGGATACAGCGTGGGGTGGGGGGGTCCCACAGACACTGAACACTGCGGTAATGCTGCCGAGCATAATGGTTGCCATGACAGCAGCTGCAAAGCTCAGAATAAAAATTTTAATTGCATTATGATTATGGGAAATCAGTTTTATTGCAAGTATTTCCCCTAGCAGTTAAATGCAATAAGACTGTCAGGAACAACCCTTCAGAGACATTTGCTGTGCCCGGGACCTGTCTGCAGGGGGCAGCAGGGGGCAGGGAGCCTGTGTGTTGAGGAGGATTCTCTGGGACCCTCAGGACACTCCTTGGCCTCCCTCTACTGCAGCGTGACTTCCCAGAAAGAGCATGACCTCTGGGACAGACCATGGAGTTTGCTTCAGTATCTGCCCCCTCAGAGCTACGTGGCAAGCCGGCCTTATGCTGAGCTGTTTCCCTATGTGTGATATCAAGGTGATAATGACCTCACCTGGGACCTTACAAGAGTAAACGTGAGGAAAACAGGATGTCCCTGCCGCAGGCACACAGGCCCTCCCTCCTCCGTGTCCCTGCGTTTCTCCCCTTCTCGTGCCCTGTCCCCCCCGCCCCAGGCCAGTACGTTACAGTCCATAAAGGCCCCTACCCATCTCCGCCTTATTACTGTTTCTTATGGGAACATTCGTTTTGGGCTGATGGACCCGAATGACAAAGCTCCAAAGAGAAACTTAATCCCAGGCCAGAATGAATCTTCTCTGCCTGGCAGGGAGGGAAGATGGAGCAGCCAGTGTCTGCCCTCACCATCCTATCTTGTTCAGTTCCGTTTGGGAGGGCTCTCACAACACAGCCGCCTCCGCCTCGCCTCCGGGAAAGGCACAGCAGGAAGGGAAGGGGGGCAGTGGGGAAACAGCTTGCAGCGGCAGTAGGAAGTCAGTGAAGGCAGGGGACGGTGGCCTTGACTTGGCCCATTATGGAGAGGGGCGTGGGGGCTTTGGGGTAGAGATGTGACCCGAGCCTTAAGTTGCCAGGCTTGGCGGTGAGCGGAAGGTGGCTGGAATGAGCGCCGAGCAGGGGGGTAGAGGGTGGGGCTGGGGGCTGAGTAGCCAGAAACCAGGCTTCAGGCTCCACTTAGTCTGGGGAGCATCTTGTGCTGCGTGAGAGGTTTCAGATCCCAACTGTCCCCAAAGCTCTCTGTCCCTTGAAGCTTCCATCTTGTCTGCCCTCCAACGTGTGCTCCTTGTTTCCTCTAGGAGGCAGCCGAGAGGGCAGCCCCCATAAACACAGTAGAAGCTGGAAGCTCAGGGGCAGGAGCTGGGAGCCCCGGCTGTGGGGCCAGTGGGCCAGAGCTCTGCCTCACTTCCGCCCGCTCCAGCCTGAGGGGTATCGGCTCCTGTAGGGGACCCGGCTCCCCAGCCTCCTGCCCCTGCGGCCTAGATAAGTCACCCTTCACCTCAAGGGCTGCTGGCAGGGCTAAGTGAGGCCTTCGACATGACTGGCTGGGCCCACGAGAGGCCCCCACAGGCCAAGAGTCTCCCCTCCTCACACCCTCAGTGGGGCTGAACCTTGGGCTGCGCCTACGCCTCCCCCCAGCTTCCTCCCACTGTCTCTCCTCCTCAGCCTCCCTTCTGTTCTCTGGAGGTCCCCCGGCCTCCTCCTGCCTCTGTCTCTCACTGTCATTTCTGGCTAGCCATCTCTGGCTTTCTCTCCGTTGTGCCTGGCTCTCTTCTGCTTCCCCCCTTCCCTTTGTTGGTCTCTCTCGCACTCTCCGTTTCTCCCTGTGCCTCTTCCGCAGTCTCTGCTTCCCTGCCCCTCTCTCGGATGCACTGGGGATGCTCAGGCTGTCCAGACACACCTGCTCTGACCTCCTGTCTGGTGACTCTTCCCCTTCCAGATGGGGCTGGTGGTCATCCTGGTGTCCACGGTGGTGGCCATGTCGGCCGTGGCCCAGCTGTGGAAGGACGAGTGGGAGGTGCTGCTGATCTCCCTGCAGGTGAGGGGGTGAGGGAGGGCTGGGCAGCCACTTCCCCAGGACCTTCAACACAAGGCAGTGCCTTTTCATCACTCACATCTTTCCAGACGAAGGCCCAGAGAGGGCAGGGAGGGGCCCAGATCACAGAGCAAGTCAGAGCAGGGAGGGTGCTACACCTTGGGGTTTCTGCAGAGATGAGAGTTGCCCACCCCACGGACAGAGATAGGCTGGCTGTGAGGGTGCTGGTGACCAGAGGGTCTAGGCATGGCTGGGAGCTCATGGTTCCTCTTGCCCCTTCCCGCACACAAGGGCACAGCGCCATTCCTGCATGTAGGGGCCCTGGCCGCCATCACCGCGCTCTCCTGGATTGTGGCAGGACAGTTCGCCCGTGCAGAGCGGTCCTGTAAGTATGACTGCCTCCCAAGTACCAAAACCAGCTTGTCCTGCCCCCACCTGGACATCACCTAGGTGGCCACTCTCAGCATGGAGGTCCTGGTTCGGAGTGGCCCACAGGGTCCACTGAGGGTCGCAGCCTCGGTCAGCCTTGCACGTTTCCTCCTCTGTGTGTCTGTGTGTGAGTTAGAAGTCCAGCTTGCCTTCCTAGCCAGATGGGGGCTGGCCATGGTGTAGGGTCCCTTCAAAGCATTGGGTCCTGACAGGTAGAGGGAAGAGGGGCCCCCACCCCAACCCCAGCCTGCTCAGGATTCACGGGTGGGCCCTGTGGAAAGCCAAACAGCTCACCAGGTAGCCTGACTCACGGCCGATGTCTGCAGCCTCCCAGGTGGCCATTCTCTGTATCTTCTTTGCCATGGTATTTGCCTTCTACCTGGCCCCTCTCACCATCTCATCTCCCTGCATCATGGAGAAAAAGGACCTGGGCCCCAAGCCTGCCCTCATTGGCCACCGTGGGGCTCCTATGGTGAGTACCACCTGAGGGTCCTAACAGAGCAGAGAGGGGGGTGGGCAGTTCTGCCATTCTAGGGGAGACAGGCCTACAGGACCTATCTCCTTGTAGGGAAGATATAATATGTGTAATATGGTAATAGCAGGAATCTTTAGCTCTTTTGGGGGGCATATGGGAAGGGTTGGTGAAAAAGCTGGGGAGCTCAGATGGGACTGAATCCTGAAAAGTCCTGAAGGCACCTCGCTAAAAAGATTTAAGTTTTTATCCTGAGGGCCCTGGAAAGATACAGGCAGGCTAGGTTGTGGGTTGGGAAGGCCCAGGAGAGAGGGGGAGCTGGGTGTGGGGAGGACAGCCGGTCCCCGGGTTGTAGGAGAACCCTCTGGGCTGTGGGGTGCAGAAGGGAACAGGTACAACTCAGAGCCCACTGCTAGAGGGAAGGTACTTGAAGAGGGTTGAATTAGAGACAGAAGGGAGTCAAAGTCAGAGCCCTCTGACCCAGCAGTAGTTTAGAGGGTGGCTCCAGAGCCATGCTTCCTCAGCCCTTTGGCAGCTGTGGGAGCCTGGACCAATCCGTGTCTGCTCTGTGCCAGTTTCCTCATCTTGTGTCTTGGGATAACAAGAGTGCCTGCACCGGTGCGCCATGTGAAGTACCCAGCTATGAGCCTAGCACACACAGAGTGAGAGATAGATATTTCTGGCTTCTGGGGCAGGCTGTCTCCCTTCTCTGGACCAGGGGGTTCTCCTGCACCAACACCTTGACTTTGTGGTTCTTAACAGAGGCAGTACCTATTATCACCACCAGGAGGCGCTTGGGGCCTGCGTGAGAGTTTCTTTTTCTTTTTCTTTCTTTCTTTTTTTTTTTTTTTGCAGTGATTGAGAGTTCCATGTATCATTGCATTTCAGGGCAGTCAAGGCAGCCTCACAAAGTAACTTTTAACGTTTATTTATTTATTTGGGGACAGAGAGAGACAGAGCATGAACGGGGGAGGGGCAGAGAGAGAGGGAGACACAGAATCGGAAACAGGCTCCAGGCTCTGAGCCATCCGCCCAGAGCCTGACGCGGGGCTCGAACTCACGGACCGCGAGATCGTGACCTGGCTGAAGTCGGCCGCTTAACCGACTGCGCCACCCAGGCGCCCCATAAAGTAACTTTTAAAAGGAGGTGTTAAGTCTGGTGGGGCTGTGAATCACCCTTAGGTTTTTCCCCACTTTCTGTGTTGAGTGTTACTGTGCCCGTTTTGTAGGTAAGATTCAGATACCTGTGCCTGAACCGGCCCCTGGTACCCTCCCAACACACCCTTCGCTGGTCCCAGTACCTCCAGGAGGCAAACAGCTGGAAAGACCATGGCTCTGGAGCCAGAGGGATCTGGATTTGGGGTCCAGTTTTGTCCCATATTGCCTGTGGGTGTCGGGGGGTCACCAGTCCCCTCTGAGCCTCATGCTGCTGACCATTGTGAGGATAATTTAGAAGCATAGCCTTTGCAGGTGGGCAGGGCCCAAGGTTACAGCACCTCTTCCATCCATGACCCAGATTACCCACCCACCTGCTCTGGAGGCCAGGGGACAAGTAGGTGTGCCCAGGGGGGTGGGCACTCAGCCAAGGGGAAGGAACCAGGTGGCCCCAGCATGGATCATTTTTTTAGTAGGAAAAAGTAACATTCACAGAAGTGGCAAGAATTGTATAAGGAATCATATAATGAAGAATAATATAAGGAATCCAAGACCACCTTCAATATTTATCAATGTTCTTGCCATCCTTTGTTTCATCTGTCTCCCTACTTTTTCTTTTCTGATGTAAAATTTTAAAACAAATCCCAAACATCCTATCATTTTGCCCATATATACTTCATATATATGTATCTCTAATACATAAGGACTTTTTTCTTTTAAACATAGCCAAAACTACAATGCTGCTGTCACACCCAACAAAATAATAATTCTTTAATATTATCTAATACTGAATCCATGTTCAGTTTTCCTTTGTTGTCTCAAAAATACCTTTTTACAGTTGTTGAAAATCAGGATCCACACGGAGAACACGTAGTGCATCTGGTTGACATGTCTTCCAAGTATCTCTTAGTATAGAACAGTCCCCCTCCCTTTTTCCCATATGCTGTTTATTTGTCAAAGAAACGGAGTCATTTGTCCTGTAGAATTTCCCACGTTGTGCATCTGGCTGATTGCATCCTCTTGGTGGTTTTTGAGGGGCCAGCACGAGTGTCTGACACGGCTCCATGTGTCACTGTGCATGCACATGTATCGGTGTCTACACCTGTGTGTATCATTGGGTCTGGATCCACACATCTGTGTGTGATAAGCCCAAGTGCACATTGCTGTCTTGGTGTGTCCGTGTGCCCTTGGGTGTATGGTTCCTCTGTGGGTGCAGCTGGATGTGTGTATGTGTGTGTTCTTTAATATTTGGTCAGACTAACTCCAAAGTCGGGACTTTTAACCACAGTGGCCTGCCCACCTGAGTTTGTGACAGCCACCCCTCACATACACACTCGAGAAAAGAACCCCACTTGGGCTCAGGCATGAGACAGGTAGGGATTAAGAATTCACCCTGAAATCCCACATGTTTCTAAGAGCCCTCCTGGAGTCCCAAGGCTGGCCAAGGAGGGCTAGGTTTCCATGCCTCCCTCTCCCGGAGGCGAGCACCTATCCCTGGGAGACCCGACTAAAAAGCCTCTGGAGAAGAGACTCTGCCCCTCCCAGTCACTTCCTCTGTTCCCCAAGGGTCTTTGTAGACCCCACTGTGCTCCTTTGTGTTCTTCACACAGTCAACCTCCTGCAGCCTCGGCCCCCAGAAGAGTAATGGCACCTCTTGTGAGAGGCCTGGCCGCAGGACGTTTAGAGGCGAGCTGGGCAGGAACTCCACCGAGTCCATGCCTGTCTCTAGATGCCTCTGTGGCCTTGTTCCACCTCTCGCTGGGGCCACACACAGCCCACCTGACTGGGAGAAGGTAGCCACGTCCCCCAAAGTTGCTCTGCCCCAAGAAAAGTGGAAGAAAGGAACTCAGTTATAGAGACTGCTGATGCCCCTTATTTCATCTGTGAGCTTGATAACACTAGCCTATTTTATAGCTAAAGAAACCAAGGTGCAGAAGGTGAACGACTGGGAAGTCGAATTGCTCCTTCTCAGTCCCCACAGCCCTTGCCGTGCCAGGCTGCCTCCCAGAGGAGGGTAATGTGTTACATGTTGGAGCAGCATGGCCAGAGGGAGAGAAGATGGGCATGTGTCTTGGTGGGAAGTGAGATCAGTCGCAGGAACCCCTTCCACCCCATTCCTTCACTGCCAGGAGTCCTCACTCCCCTCCCTGTTCCAGCCTGCACTGCGCTGGGTTCTAGCCCACTCCTTGATATGGTGGTGACCCCCAGTGGCAACAAAGGGTATGACAGGGTCTTCAGGCAAGACAGAATTAGGGAGGGAGACTTCAAACTCCAACTCTCCCAACTGGAAGGACCCTCAGAGAACAGTGAATATATACCCCAAGGGGAAAATGGGGAAACTGAGGTCCATAGGAGAAAGAGATGCACCAGCGGTTACAAAGTTACTTTATGGCAGGGCCAGGGCTAGAACCAGATCTTCTGACGTGTATGCTATAGGATTAAGAGTCATTTATTAAGCATTTATTGTACGTCAGGCAGCATGGTTGGGGGCTTTTAATCCATGTAACAGCCTGGGGGATGGCCTTGTCATGGCTTAAACGGTGCCATCCTGTGTCCCCTCCCCTCTCCCTCTGGGATCTCCACCCAGACTCCGGGTATAATTGGGAGGAAACATGGCTTGCACCCCAGCCCAAGACTGTGACGAGACAGAGGACTGTATAAAAACCCTCACACCCCCATATATACATCAACACTAACCACCTTGCCTCCTCCCCACCCCACCCCCAAAAAAACCTGTGAGGCAGGCATGATTTCACAGATGAAGAGACCGAGCCTCTGAGAAGCTGCATGGGTGTCCAGGGTCCCACAGCCACTGCTTGGAGGAGTTGGAATTAGAACCAGACTTACTCCAGCCTCCCAACATGGAAGGTTCTAGATTGGCTGGGGAGGTGTACATCAGCTAAATCTCGGCTCTCCCTTCCTGCCCAGCTGGCCCCAGAGCACACATTGATGTCCTTCCGGAAGGCCCTGGAGCAGAAGCTGTATGGGCTACAGGCTGATGTCACCATCAGGTAGGTGTGGGGGTCAAGAGGACCACAAGGCCTCTCATCCCTGCCGCATCCGGGACCCTGCTGGAGAAACCTCGGGTCCCAGAGCCTCAGAGATGGGGCTTGGGGCTTGGATGATCTGCCACAGGGCTGACACCCTGTTTGTGCCTAATGCCAGGATATAAAATAGGGAAATAAACACATGCTCTTGGTTCAAGCAGGGGTGAGTGTTTGGGACCTGGAGTCCTGCCACAGATCTACTTGAAGGAAAGACTAGATCTGTGTGGCTCAGCAAGATGGCTCAAACACCAATGGGCGGAATGAGCACACTGCAGAGTGATGTATTCACTGTGATGTCAATTATATTTAGAAGACGCAGAAAAGGATTTGTACGTTTTCAACGTGTAGATTTTAAAAGTATGTCTTAACATGAAAGGTCAAGAAGAACTCATACCAATTTCACAACAGATTATCTCTGAGAGGGGAAGGAGGTGGGGCTGCCATGTTTAGCTACACAGGTTGTGTAGTGAACAAGACACCACATACGTGAGGGGCCAAGCATAGATATCATTGTTAGATAACCCACCGGTCCCAGTGTAGATACCACAGAATTGTGTGTGTATCGAAACTTAATAGCAGATGGAGGTAAAATGCCTTGAGGCAGGGGGGCACAGGTGCTTTTTACTATTTCACACTATGACATCATATGTGGTATCGGCAGCCCCAAACGGGTAGACTAGGATGGTGGGAAGGGGGAATTTGTCAAAGGGGCCTGCACCTGTACTGTTCTAGTATGGCATCACATGGCCCGGGTTCTAAGTAAGGTTATACCATTTACTGGCTAATGGGTCTTGAGCTAGGTACTTCCCTCTCAGCCTCAGTTTCCCCATTATCAAACGAGGCAGCACTATCTGCTAGGGCTGCTGAAAAAATAGACCCAGCCCTCCATCCTCAGCAGTCCCTAACCCCGTCTGACCCTCACAGAGAGCCAGAAGGAGTCACCTGTGAGTCCACTGCCCTCCCGGTGCAGACAGGGAACCTGAGATCCACAGAGGCAAAGCCTGCCTGGATGTCATGGGGGTTGTATAAGTGGATGGGAAGGAGCCTATGTGTGTTGGTGGGGGGGATGACTGGTGGGCAGGTGAGGGACCTGGGTGGACAGTGATTTGGGGACCCCACCTTCCCGTAGCCTGGATGGCGTGCCCTTCCTCATGCATGACACCACCCTGCGGCGCACCACCAACGTGGAGGAGGAGTTTCCGGAGCTCGCCCGCAGGCCCGCCTCCATGCTGAACTGGACCATCCTGCAGAGGCTCAATGCCGGCCAGTGGTTCCTGAAGGTCTGGCTGTACCTGTCCCAGTCCTAGGCATGGAAAGCACAGGCGGGGACCCCATGGAGTGAGAGGGCCGGGAGTGGTCATCAGCTCAGATGACCCCTAGTCCCCTAGCATCAATGACTCACAGCCAGGTTGGTTAGTGGCCTGCTTCGGCTCCAGCCACTGAAGTCCAGATCTCATGGTTGTCACTGCTTCTTCTGGTTCTGTCTCCCACATCAGAAAAAGTTGGCGGTGATGATAAGAGTTAACAGGTAAAACTATTAACTCTGTCAAACTCAGAGGGAAATTGGTTCTCTGGTGTGAAATGCTACTAAAGGAGAAATGTGCTGGGGTCTGGGATAAGTTCCAAGCAGGTGATTCTTTCAGGAAAACAGGTGTGGCCCAGAGAAGTTAGGGTTGGGGTCTTCTAAAAGCCCCACAGGGCCACAGTCATCAATTTACCTGACCCACACACCAGCAGACACTGGCAGCTCAGGGGTCTCCGTGCTTAGTGGCCAAGAAGGCACACGGAGGCCCCAAAGGGCTGGCGAGGCAGCCATGTGTGTTCCTATCTCTGCCAGACGGATCCCTTCTGGACGGCCAGCTCTCTGTCACCCTCCGACCACAGGGAGGCCCAGAACCAGTCCATCTGCAGCTTAGCAGAGCTCCTGGAGCTGGCCAAGGGCAATGCCACGCTGCTGCTCAACCTGCGTGACCCACCACGGGAGCACCCCTACCGTGGCAGCTTCCTCAATGTCACGCTGGAGGCCTTGCTGCGCTCTGGGTTCCCCCAGCACCAGGTGAGGCCCTGCTCAGGAGCCCTGCCCTGCCCCCCTGGAAACCCAGGCCTGGCTGGAGCAGGACTCCAGCGTAACTTCACTGTGCCTCCTGTCCAGACCTCAGTTTCCACATTTGTAGAATGGGGGTAACATGCCCCTTGCCTTCCTGACAGGGTAGTCGTGGAGACAAGAGGGAAACAAGAAAGTCCTTTAAAATGTACAAAGGGCAGGAGCAGGTTCTCTGGGACACTGCTATTTCCACGAAGCACTGCCCGCATCCTTGTGCTGTAATACTTGGGGGTCAGAGGAATTCGAAACGAATTTATGGCAGCACACTAAACTGGTGGCATCCTATAGAGTGACTGACGCTTGGGTTATCAGTCTTGTCATGACAGGGGTCTACAGGGGAAGCTCCCTGAGTTGTTGCCAGAGCAATTGCACAGCCTTGGCTGGGACCAGGTTGACCCCTGTAGATAATGATTACACATAAGCTCCACTGTGTGCCAGGTCCCAGCTCTCTGAAACCTTCCAGGGGCTTCAGGCTTCTTTAACAGAAGAGAAAGCCGAGGCTGCCCCCTCTCCTGCCTGCAGGTCATGTGGCTGCCTAACAGGCAGAGGCCCTTTGTGCGGAAGGTGGCTCCTGGCTTCCAGCAGACATCAGGTTCCAAGGAGGCGGCCGCCAGCCTGCGGAGAGGCCACATCCAGAGGCTGAACCTGCGCTACACTCAGGTGTCCCGCCAGGAGCTCAGGTGCCTGCCCCAGCTCACCAGGGGGAGGCTGGATGCACAGAGTTCCTGGTTCAAAGAGTGGTGGTGGACAGCATCAGGCAGATCCAGGTTTTGTCTGAGTTTGGTCCTCTGGGAGTGGAGATTCCTTTCTCCAGGGCCAGTTGTGGGTGTTCCTTTCTCCAGGGCCAGGAGGTTCGTGAAGGGGGCATGCTTTACAGGCCCAGAGGCCCCAGTCTGAGGGCTGACCAGCCTCCGTCCCCCTGCCCCACAGGGACTATGCATCCTGGAACTTGAGTGTGAACCTCTACACGGTCAATGCACCGTGGCTCTTCTCTTTGCTGTGGTGTGCAGGAGTCCCATCTGTCACCTCCGACAACTCCCATACCCTGTCCCAGGTGCCTTCCCCTCTCTGGATCATGGTAAGTTGGGAAATTGTTGGGGGGGGGGGGTGTGCAGGAGGGCACCTGGGGGTGTAGAGGGAGCCTGTGATACAGGGTGGGGGGGAGGCTCGATGCTCAGGGCTCTCTGGTGAGGTCTCAAGGGTGGGGGCAGCACATGGTGGGGGGTTTAGGCTTGAGGCAAGAGGAAGATCTTCATGGCCTCTGGAGTCTGCACTAAGGTGCTGGGGGGTGGGAAGAACCTGGGCCCAACCCACAGGGAGAAAAACATCATTTAAGGGCCCCAGAGGAGTAAATTACTACTTGGGGGTTGGGTTTCGGGAGTTTGTTATATTTTGTTTTGAAGAAGGAGAAGGCATTAGAAAAAGAGGGTAACAACAGGACAAAGATAGGGAACATTTAAAAGCTGCTCTGAGAATACACCAAATAAAACCAGTTTTCAACTGGTTGATTGGGTCCCTATAGACTGGCCTGGGCTCCCATCCCAGCTCTGTCACTGGGGGAGCCCCCCACTCCTATGCTCCCCCTGGCTCCCCACTGCCATCTCCGTGAGGACAGGACAGCCAGTCTGAGGGTCTTGTTATGGCTGAGACAGTGTCAGGGTCAAGTAACCAGAGCTAGGTTATGGATGGTTGTGTCCGTCCACCTACCAGAGGTCCTTGCAAACCTCCAGAGGCTCTGCTGGGAACCAGCAGTGCGCACACTCGGAGGTTCAGGCGACAGCAGCTGACCAGCAGCAAGAAGTGCTCCTTTGTCCAGGCCCCGTCCCTCCTCTACAGCTCACCTGACATCAAGGCCTGGCTACACTGGAGGCTTTGCCCTCCCTGATCCCGGGAGCGGGCAGGCCTTCACTCAACACCCTACAGTGACACACGTAATCTCACACCTGCACAGATGCCACACACACCCCTGCATATGTACTAGTCACTTACACCCCCACATTCAGCTATGTGTCTTTTGTTACTCAGCTTCTGCTTGGAGCCCCCCTTTAGCACACAAACCCACCAGGCTTATTCACAAATGCCACCTCTACCCTGAATACCACACAGATCTTTTTTTTTTTTTTTTGAGTGAGAAAGAGGGGAGGGGTACAAGTGAGTGAGGGGCAGAGAGAGAAGTGGGGCTCACTGAAGCGGGGTTCGTGCTCACCTGATGTGGGACTCAAACTCACAAACTGTGAGATCATGACCTGAGCCGAAGTCAGATGCTTAATGACTGAGCCACCAGACACCCCACACAGATCTTTTTTATCCTACACACACACACACACACACAGGCTTACAGTGTTCAGAGCCTACTCCTACAAAATATCTCAAGCCCCGAAGCCCCCTCTGGATCCTCCCAGCCCATCCCTGATAGTGACGTGGGGTCCCCCTGCCCATATGGAACCTCGGTCTGGGGCCCCGGTATGGACTGGCCAGGACTGAAAACTGGCCACTGGCCATCTGTCCACAGCCCCCGGACGAGTACTGTCTCATGTGGGTCACTGCAGACCTGGTCTCCTTCAGCCTCATCATTGGCATCTTCGTGCTCCAGAAGTGAGTAGGCTTGGACGCCCTTCCACAGCCTTCCCTGCCCCACAGCAGGCGAGCCCCCACCTCAGCCAGTCAAACCTCCCCAAGTCCTGGGCCAGGAGAAGCCCTGACCAGGCAGCGTGTTCAGGGTAGGAGGAGGACTGCCCAGTGGCCTGCAGCCCGTCCTCCTCAGCCAGAGCTGAGTGGCTTCGGGAACAGGTACCCGGCTAGGAGCCCATAGCCAACCAAGCTCTGACATGATTTGCTATGTGGACTTTGGCTTGTGTCCTGACCTGTTCCCCGGGGCCTGGGTTGTCACCGGCACTCAGGTGTGCCGTGCTGGAGACCTCCTGCCTGTCAGGGTAGCAGCTGAGCTGGTGGCTGCAGTGGGGAAGTGGGGTTGGTCTGGGGGAGGGTTTAGGGCCAGGCAGGGGCCCCAAACCAGCCACAGACAACAACTGGCCGTTCTATTCCTGACTGACGTTCTCTCTCTGTCACACACCGCTCTGATCCGGCGCATGTCCCTCCTCTCTCTCCCCACCCCCCTCTCTGCTGCACTCTGGCATCTCACAGCTATCACTTGATCAGGTAATTCTGGTGTGGTCTTCCTCTCCTGTCCCTCTTTCTCCCTCTTCCTTGCCATTCCCTTCTCCAGTTCCCTCTGAAAACCTGCCGTGCACTGAGACGGTGCCTGGGTCAGGGTCCCTCGCGGGTCACCCTCCCAGACACCTCCCCTCGCCTGAAGCCTCCTGCTGTCCCCTGCCCTCCTTCTCTCCCCCACAATCCTCCCTTCTCTCCCCATCTTGCCATGTGTGTCCTTCTGCCCTTTGTTCCTCCTCGCTGTCTCTGTGGATGGGAACCCATGCTTCCCTGCAGGTTTGCTGACCTGGCCTCTCTTAGCACCAAAGCGGCTCCCCTTGGGGGAGGGGCTGTGCCTGGCTGTCCCTCCCCTGCCACCAACTCTAGCACTAGCAGGGGCCTTCGCCACTACCCTACCAAGTTCTGTTCCCCCCTTCCCACTTTTGGCTTTGCCTCTGTTTATCTTTCTCTGTGTCTCTCACTTTGTGACTCCTGCCCCCCCCTTATACACACAGCCTCCCTGCTTTCCCCTGGGGGCACCCCACAGTGGTTGAGCTTCCTGTCCTAGATGTGCCTGGCTGCAGAGACCCTGGCCTGACACTTTCCTCCTGGGTTCGATGTTAATTTCCAACAGGAGTCCTAGGTCCTGGGGTCCAAGCCCTCACCTTAGCTAAGTGCCTTGGGCCCTCCTGCTTTATACAGCCTCACTAACCAGCTTCCAGAGGACCCTCCCTGGCTGAGGGGCTGAGTGCAGCAAAGGGACATGTACCTGGTCCTTCATTTGCAGCCAGCAGACATCCGCATGTGCTGGTGCTGTGCTGGGCCTGCAGCGGGGAGCCAGGCCTTCGCTCTCGGAGCTCCGGTGTGCTGGGTGGGGGCCAGCCAAGGTGGCCTAGGTGCTGGGATGGACATGTCCAGCCAGGGTCGTGTCACTGTCTTCCTGGGGGTCAGCAGAGGCCTGATGGAAGAGGGGACCCTGAGGGAGAATATCATTCCCTGCGGGCCCCCTTCCTCCATTCACTCACTGAACCAATACTATGGGCACCTGCCACACAGCAGACATTGAGGTTGGTGCCAGGGACACAGTGGCAGATAAGAGACCTATCGCTGCCCTCAAGGACATGTAGGGCAGCCAGCCCAGCCAGAGCACAGGCTGCCTTCCCCTCTGCTTCCTGCTTCCCCCTTGTCTGTCTGTTCTTTTCATTCACCCATCTGCCTGTCCATCTGTCTGTCCATTTCTGCTGTGCTGACCCCATCTGGAAACAACTGATTTCTCATGGAGTCCGGGCTGCCCGCACCACCCCCGCAGGGCTCAATGTCCGAGGGGTTGGGTTCTTGTTTCCAAGCTGACCCCTGCTTCTCTTGGTGGGAATGGGGACAGGGGTTCAGTCAATCTTTCTGTCTAGTTTGCAGGACAAGTCATAAGTTCAGAGACCAGAGATTTGGGGCTGGTTCAGAGGTACTGCAATAGCAAAAACTGCTGTGGGCTAGGTACAGGAGCCCAAGTTCCCCAGCTCTTCCTGGCCCCTGCACGCCCCGTACAGCCCCACCTCTTGCCCATTGGCTTAATTTTATCCCCCACCTCATCCCTGCCTCAGCTGTCAGAGGGATTAATGCTGTATCTAGCCTGTGCCTCACCGTGAGGAAACAGGTCACTCTCCTAGGGTTGTTGGAACAGACCCGAGTCACTGACACCCTTGTCTCTGAACCTGTGAAGACAAGCTCCCCACTTGTCTTCACAGCTCCTCCCCTCACTCCCTCCCCTCTTTCACTTCCACTCCGGGGTTTCCCCACTGGCTTCACTCAGCCTGGTCCTGATGGTGGAGCTGGACGACACATCAGCCAGGACTCCCTGAGATTGGTGTGTACCCCACAGATGGCTCATCAGAGTCAGGTCTGCTAAGCTCCCCCACCCCAATTTACCCCAGAAGTCAGCGTGCAACTGCAAGCACCCGAAACAGAACTCACCAACCCCAAACAAACTATCTTCCTGGGCAAGGAGGGCTGACCTAGGGTTCCGGGGACAAGAGAGAGGCAGGAGAGCCCTGGCTGAGTCAGGGGACTCTGACGCAAGCCCTTCTCTGGGCCTCAGTTTCCCCATCTCTAGTCAGACAAGAGTCCTGCTGGCCTCTCAGGCCCAATCCGGACAGGTTCTGGAATTGGGCAGGATCCTCGCTCCAAGGAAGGGTGGGGAAGGACCTGTGCCCATGGGGCCGTCTCTGCAGGTGGCGCCTGGGTGGCATTCGGAGCTACAACCCCGAGCAGATCATGCTGAGCGCTGCGGTGCGCCGGACCAGCCGGGATGTCAGCATCATGAAGGAGAAGCTCATCTTCTCAGGTGTGCAGCCCTGCAGGTTGAGACGGGTGGTGGGCTCAGTTACCACCCCACGCATGTACTCGAGTATGTGTACACACATTCACCCACAGCACGTACAGCCAGGAACACAGCACGGACATACATGTACCCACCCAGCTTCACATACACATACAGAAACATGTACCCCTCCGCATGCTGTCATCCACTCCAAGCCCTGGGGCAGTCAGCCCCATGGGTGGTGGACAAAGGACAAAAGTGTGGGGGTGGGGGAGTCTGCTTTTAAGGCTTACCCTCCTTTGCCTGGTTTATACACCACAGATATTGATTTTTTTTCCCTTCTGCTTGCTGCCAGCCCATCGATGGCATTCCCAGTCTGATGGAGGAGGCAGCCGTAAGAAAAAATACATAGAAACTTGGGTGTCACTAGAGCTCCAACAGGTGTGCTGAGCCAGAGTGGGGTGCAGAGAAGAGTGGTCAGAGCTCTCTGGGACAGTGAGGGTCTTGGGGCCCACTTTGCAAGGAGGTGACCTAGTGGGAATGGGAAAGATGAGTAGGAGGGGTCTGGGTTTGAGGTGAGGACTGACCAAGCAGAGGGAAGGAAGGGTATTCAGGCAGGAACAGCATATGTTCAGAGGTAGTGAGGGGGCATGGCTTACTGGGGTACCAAGAATTATCATTCCATATGGTGTGGGGGGGGGGGCTCAGGTTCACTTACCCTGAGGTGGCACTGAGGGGGGCACTTGGGCCTCGAGTGTGTGGTCAGGAGCTTGGGCTTCAGTTTGAAAGCAGAGTATGGTCACAGGCAGATCTGTCCCTGTTACAGGAGGGCTGTAACAAAGCACCCCAAACTGGTGGTGTAAACAATAGAAATTTATGGTCTCAGTTCTGGAGGCCAGAAGTCCAAAATCAAGGTGTTGGCAAGGTTGATTCACTCTGAGGACTGTGGGCGAAGGATCTGGTCCAGGCCTCTCTCCTTGACTTGTAGGTGGTCATATCTGTGTTTACGTGGTTCTCCCAGTATGCATCTCTGTGTACAAATTTCATCTCTTCCTAAGGACACCAGGCATATTGGACTAGGGCCCACCTTGATGACTTCATCTTAACTAACATCTGCAACAACCTTATTTTCAAATGAAGTCACATCATGAAGTACTGGGGGCTAGAACTTTCAACATACGAATTGGGGGGGCAGAGCACAATTCCACCTCTAACAAGCATGCAGGGTGAACTAGAGAGGGGGAAGGTGGAGATGAGGAAGCCAGAAATTCAGGTGAGAGATTAGGCATGGGAACACAGAGGAGAGGAGAGATTTGAGGGATATTTAGGAGCCAGATGGACTGGGGTTCAAATCCCAGCTCTGTCCCCAACTAGAGTGTGAACCAGAGCACATTGGCACCAGACCCTTCCTGTATAAAACGGACTGGCACCTCCTGCCCCTCACAGGGTGCTTGTGGGGTTAGCACCATGCATGACCCAGCAGTGTGCTTGGTAAACACGGCCTGAATGAACGATACCCCAGTCGGGGTGACTGGTTTGGGAGCTGGTTCCTAGGATTGTGTGAACATCCATTCATTCACTCTCCCCTTTATTCATTCATTCCTTCAACAGATAATTGCCAGGCACTGTTTTAGGTGCTTAGGATTTACAGATTCTTGCCTATGGGACACTTACATTCCTCCTCCCTTGGCTCAAAAGACCGCCCTCTCCTGGGAGCCTTCTCTGAGCACCAAGGCTGGGTTGGAGGGCCTCTCCTGGTGGTTCTCAGCCCTCTAGCCACACTGGGGAGCTCCTGTAAGGGCCAAAGGCACCCGGGGTCCCCAGGCTCCTACAGCCTGGCCCAGGGAAATCAGAAGGGGCGGGTGGAGTGAATGGAGAGCCTCTAGGCCTCTAGGCCTGGAAGATTCTGCCCACGCAGGCCCCCACCTCTCCTTCAGTGCCAAAGGCCATTCATTGAGCACCTTCGGATACAGACTCTGAGGCAGCCAGCCACAGCCCTCAGGCCACCCTGCCCACTCCGGGTTGAGAGGTCCTTTCCAGAGACCCTCAACCTCACCAAGGCACCCTGAGTCCCCTCAGGGTGGGCTCAGCTCCACTCAGCAGACACTTCCTGAGCCTCTGCTCTATGTCCGGTGCTGTGCCAGGCAGTAGGGACACAGATGCACCCAGACCTCACCCCTGTGCTTGAAGTACTCCAGTTGGTGGGGGCCACAGATAGTGACAGTACAGGATGCGATGGGGCAGGGGGAAGCAGGGGCTAAGGTGGACATGAGGAGGCCCCATCCCAGCTTGGGGGGCTCAGGGGAGGCTTTTAGGGAACCATAATAACAGAATGAGAAAAATTGAGCCATATTTTAAGAAATAAAGTACCGATGGGGAAGTCACTCCCAGGAGAGGGACCAGTGCGTGCAAAGGCCCTGAGTAAACACATGAGCACCAAGCCCAGGAGGGTGCAGATGGTTTTCTGTGGCTGGGAGGTGGAGTTCCAGGGGAGAGGTGAATGGGGTGTGGCCAGAGTGTTTGCAGAGTCCAAGGAGGGCCTTGAATACCAACCTCAATAGCAAACCTGAACCCAGTGATTTCATCAGCCTCCAAGTGCCTGAACAGGAGCTGTGTGTTGCAAGTTACCCTTCCCCCTCATCTCCCAGCCATCCTCACTGAACTCTCTTCTCCCTACTCACGTTCTGCCTCCCTCTGGCCCAGCAGAGATCAGCGATGGCATGGAGGTTTCCGATGAGCTCTCTGTATGTTCAGACAACAGCTATGACACGTATGCCAACAGCGCTCCCACCCCTAAGGACAACCGAGGGAGTGGCAGCCGCACCAAGACTCTCACAGACCGGAGTGGGCGTTAGCCGAACGCTGTTTGTCCCAGCCTGTACCTGTACGTGGAGACCAGGGGACCCAAGAGAGCGGGCAGAAGCATGTCTGGACCTGGAGTGCTCTGGGAGCTGGCTCCACGGCCTCCTCGTTGGCTCCGGCCCCCGTCAGCCATGGCCCTCCTTGAAGGGGACTCCCCTCTCTCCTGAGGCCCAGCCAGGTCAGAACTCCAGCCTCGCAGAGGCCCCTGCTGGCCTGGGGCCCCTTCTGGGAAGTCTGGGGCCCAGGGCCTGGTCCTCCCCCGGAGGCCTTCCCTTGCATCCTGATCTGGAAGCTCTGATGGCTCGCTGCTGGGCCGTGTGGCAGTTGAGGATGTGGATGTCCACATGTGTCCATCCTCCCTTCTATGCTGAGGTAACCGACTTCTTCGGTGTCTCCTGCCTTGAGGGCCTGGGCTGGGCCTCTGCCCCCAGCAGCTGTTCTTCACATCAGTCTCAAAGCACAAGGAGGTTCAGCCCAAGAAGAAAGCCTGCTGTGGTGGAGACACTCCTCCCTGACCAGCCTCCTACCACCACTGGCCCTGCCTCAGGAGAGGGACTGAGCCACATCCCCAGGAACAGCTGGAGATGGCCAGGAGAATAGGCCTAAGGCTGCTTTATCCCTCGCCCTCGTGTCCAACAGACTTCTAGGGCAGAGTGGCACAGAGGCCCAAGAGATCTGCAGACTGATACAACCTCAGGTTTCCACATCAGTGGCCACAGGGCATTGGCCACCTAGGAAGAATGTCCTAGGCATGGCCAAGGAGGCCTACAGCAGAGCAAGCCTGACAGCTTTGGCCAATATGATTAAAGCTGCCATCCTGACACGTGCTGTCTCTGAATGATCTGTGGGAGGACGGGGAGAGAACTTGAGTAGAAGAAATGAGTAGAAGAGTGGCAGGGTACTTGGGCCCCTACCCAGTATCACCATGACACCAGGGGTTCCTTAATAACCCTGGGGTTGGGGACCAGCATCCCCATACTGTGGTGGGGAGATGGTCTTGGAGAGATAAAGTGACCATCCAAAGCCACATAGCTTAGAATGGGCAGAGGCAGAATCCTGCCCAAGCTCTGGCCCCAGAGCCTATGCGTGCGCGCCTTCCATAACCAGCCAGGAATGGCAAGGCAGATGGGGAGACCTCCTGGGTCCAGTGCAGGGCTGGGTGGTGGAACTAGCAGGTCCCCTCACAGCCATATGGAGGTGCTTCTAGGAGCCAAGGTATGTACCTCTTCTGGATAGAATTATTGGGGTCTAAGCAATTCTGGTACCTTCTTGGAAGAAAGGAAAAGAAACCCCTCCCAAATTCTGAAATCCAGACTGTGCCCCCCACATTAACCTCTAGGACCACCCTCTGGGAACTGTGAGGGGATTCACACTCCTTCCCTCCTACTGAACATATACCAAGTGCATCCCTTTCAGGGACAGAGGTCAGCTCCCACCTTTCCCTGGGCACAACGTATAAGAGAAATCCTGAACAGCCAGGTCAGGGATGGGCTGCACTGCTCTACACAAAATGCCCCCGTAACCTCTCCAGCCTCTGGCAGGCCCACCCAGGAAAGTGGATTTGACCTTTCATTGCAGCCCTTTCCTGTCCAGCCAGTGCCCCTGGCCAGGATGTCCCAGGTTCATGGCCACACTTAGGCAACTTGAGACCTCCCAAAGTCTTCAGGAGCAGGTAGAGGGGGCTGGGAGTTCAGAGTGGAACAGCTAGCATCCCTCACCAGGGCCCTACACTGTACCCACCTCCCCAGTGCACAGGCAGTCCAGCTGCCTCCCCTCATCCCCCAAAGCAGAGGGAGCATGGAGACCATTCCCTAGGTGGGCAGAGGGCCAGTCCTGTCTCCACCCACAGCTGAACCTGCAGCCTGTGGTCAATGCTGGCTCCTGTCCCTTGACTGAAGAATTACTAAGAACCCAACCTTCCTGATGCCATCCCCACACCCTCCCCTGGTCTGTGGAGGACAGACTGACTGCCCTGTTCACAGAGAAACCGGAGACAGGGTCCCTCCCCGTCCCACTCCTTCCCTTGGACCTCAGGGGCACAGCCTCCCCTGGGTGAGCCTGCTCCAGGGCCATCCTTCCCAAGTACAGATAAAAAGTGACCAAGGGGCACCTGAGTGGCTCAGTTAAGTGTCCGACTCTTGGTTTTGGCTCAGGTCACCATCTAAGAGATGTGGGATCGAGCCCCACGTCAAGCCCCACGTCAAGAATCTGCTTGAGATTCTTTCTCCTCTCTCTCTCTCTCTCTCTGCCCCTACCCCCTGCTCATGTTCTCTCTCTCAAAATAAATAAACTTAAAAAAAGAATCTCTCATAACCTATGACACATCGCAACACATACTCCTTTCTTGGGAGGAAGGGAGATAGACCATTCCCTAGCATGGGGTTCTGGGAATAGACTCTGCCCCCCAGGACGCCTACTTGGCCAGCATCATGGTGACCCCTGCCATCCCAGCTCCTTCCACAAACTCAGCCCCAGGCCTCACTGACTCCACATGGCACGTGGCTTTCACTTACAGACCCCCTCTTGAGTGTCACAGCAACCCAGTAAGAGTGGCAGAGCAGGAACTGTGAGCATCCCTACTGCCAAGATGAAGAGCTGGGCCAAGGGATGAGCAGGAGTCTGCCCCAGGCTGCATGGCAAGTCACAGCAGTTCCAGGACCAGACCCCAAGTGCCCTGGGCCTATCCGGGTTCTTGTCAAAGCAACCTCCTCCCAGTTGCTGACCTCTTCCATGAAGGCAAATCTCCTCACCTGCCTCTCAAACACTAGGCCCGGCGGTCCTTTGTGGAGGCAGCAAACGATCTGGGACCAGCCTATGGGGTTGCCTCCTCGGGGTCCAGGAGGCCAGGCCAGCCCAAAGCTGCCTCCTCTTGTCCATGCCAACCAGGCTTGCTCGGTACCACCACGCCCCACCTCACTGGGTCCCCTCCGAGGCAGGTACATTGCTGAAAACTACCTCAACTCATACCGTGCCACAGATACAGGACACACACAGTCCACGAGGCACAGCTTCCTGTCCTTTACAGACAGACCCATGTAAAACACAGAAACAACCACTTAGAGATGGACACTAAGAGGGACACACCAGGCAGACAACCAGACACATGCAGTCCTATAAGACAAAGTCTGCTGTCAAATAGGAACACAGATAAAGCAGAGCCACAAAGAAGCAGGAGGGAAACGGGAGACCTCTAAGCTATGCAGTCACATTCTTAGTCACACCTACAGCTATACAATCACACCCACTCCGGTGCTACATAGTCACCAGGTCCCCATGCACTCCCACACTCACAGGGACCCTGGAACACCTGTACACTCACAACCACCCGATTACACCCCAACTCCCTAGGGCAATCTCCCCTACACCTTCACATCCATGCATTTATTCAGGGGTACAACCAGTGCCAGATCACCCCCAACCCAGGTACAACATTCCCTGAGATGTATGCACAGTCAATGCCACGCTTACTCCCGCCTCCTTCCTTCCCCCCGTCCCTCCCAGTGCTGGTCCAGGAATGGAACAAAAGCCCAGCATCCCCTCCTCCCCTTCTCCCCCTCTCCTCTCCCCTCCCCCCTGGCGTCCAGCCCCTTTGTCCTCCTGTAGCTGAGCCGGAGCGGGAGTCCAGGCAGAGCCGCAAGGACATTGGAGCCGGGACTGCCAGGGGTGCGGCAGCAGGACAGAGAGGAGTGGTCAGTGCCAGCGCAGCAGCCACAGAGCCCCTGGGTGAGGGCATGGCCAGGTAAGTTCCAGGTACATACGGGACTTAGACCCTCACACGGCAAGGCTGTGTGGTGTCTACAAGTCTGAATGTGTATTTGTGTGAGTGGCTGTGGATGTGAACAAGAAACAGGGTAGCATGTCAACTTCTAGAGGCTGGATTCCCCAGTTTGCATCAGGACCCTCGGCTGGAGGTGCCTAGATTCTTAGCTGGGATGGGAGAATGCCCAGCAGGGTCCTCCCTGGGAATCCCTACCTTCCATGTTGCAACCGGGTGTCCTCCGGCCCCCAGACTGGGAATCTCCAGGGTGGAAACTGAGTCTGATGTCCCAGCATGACCACAGTGCCCAGTGCACTAGACAGCAGTTAGAACGAATGAAAAAGTGAAAAAGTATTGGTGCACTTCCAGGAGAAGACCCCCTCCCTGCCCCGCCAAGCAGCCCCTGTGCTGCAGGGACAAGCCCCTCTTTACCCTGAGGAGGCCTGCCCTCTTGGATCTCAGCTCAGGAGGTGGCTGCTTTCTTAGCAAACAGCCTGCAGAGAATGGAATGGGGGCCCGCATGCTCTGCTGACCTCTCTCACCTCCCTCTGCTGATCCTGGGCTGCTCCTTAGAACATCCCCTAACCCTGGCAAGTGTGGCTGAGCAGCTAGGCATGCAGAGTCGGGAGCCAGGTGGGTTCAGGGCCCAGCCCCTCTACTTGGGCACAGTTAGCTTCCTGGGACGCTGCCCACCGGGGAGCACATTTCTGTCATCCTGAGACAGGACGATCCAGCGCCAAGGATGACCAGAGCATGAGCAATGAAAGCCAGACTAACACTGGGCAAGATCTGACCTCCAGGGCAATGCAACCTCATGCAGTGAGCTCCCAGTCCCTGGAGGTGTGCAAGCGGAGACTGTATGTTCATAATGGCCAAATCGCAGCCAGCCCAGTACCGCCCTTCAGTCTCTAGAGTGCTTTCGCGAACACCTTTCTTTTCATCCTCACAGCAACCACTGAAAGGCGGATTCCCTGTGTGCTTTTGCTTCCTTATGACAGACTCAAAGAAGGGCAGGGGCATCTAAAGAAATGTTCAGGGTTGTGAGGATCAAATGAAATTATGTACATAAAAGCAACTAACACACCTGGTGCGCTTCCTTCCTCTCGTGTAAAAACATGTAAAGAAATGTTAGCTGAGTTTGTACTATGTACCTAGCACTTTTCAAATTCCACTTGATAGTCCCAAAGTCACAACAATCCTTCTTCAGAGGAAGAAACTGAAGGGGAGTGACTTGTACAGCTCACACAGAGACTCAGTGACAGAGGCAGGGTTAGAACCCAGATCAGTCCTTAGAGCTAACTCCATTTCCCCATCGTGCTTCTTGAAAACGCAGAGAGAACTCACTAGAGAGAGGGCCAACTACCCTCTCAGCGGGGCTCTAGCCTCCTGCACTCTTTCTCTCTGGGCCTTAGCAAAAGTTCTTCTCTAAATGGTGACAAGCTCCCTGCATGGCCTTCCCTTCCTCTGGCTAAGTCCACCTATGCTTCTCAGTCTGCACACCCCTCCTCAGGAACACCTTCCCTGACTCCCCTCCAACTGGGTTTAGTTGGCTATCGGCTCCCACACTCCCCCCGTGGGACCCCCACCAAGCTGTGAGATCCAGGAGGGCAGGGTCTATGACTATCTTGCTCACTGCCTGTCACAGAAAAGGCCCTAAATACATGCTAGCTTAATACATTCGCTCAATCTTAAATAGGTATTAACTGAGCACCTACCACGGGCCAGATCCTGTACTGATGGGGGAAACGTGGATATTAAATAGAAAAATGAAGGCTTGGGGACACTTGGGTGGCTCAGTTGGTTGAGCATCTGACTCTTGATTTTGGCTCAGGTCATGGTCCCAGGGTCATGGGATGGAGCCCCAAGTCAGGCTCTGTGCTGAGCATGGAGCCTGCTAAGATTCTGTCCCTCTCCCTCTCTCTCTCTCTCTCTCTCCCCCTCCGCCCCATTCATGTGTGTTCTCTCTCTAAAAGAAAGAAAAAGAGAAAAATCAGGGTTTAGTCGGTGTGGAGCACCCACAGGAAATCAGGAGACAGGATGGGGTGACAAGTGGGAGCAGAGTTATACCTCCCTACACCACACTGGGTCTCTGTGGGGCAGTCTGAATCCCTTCTACAGCTCCTGTCAGGGGACCCCCCCCCCCAACACACACACAGATATTTTGTGCAGGTTCCAGTAACCTCCCAGCCGTCCTGTTCCAGACCTTGGAGAGTTAAAGACTCCCTGCTGTTGGCAGCCACGTGGCACTGCTTCACCCCTTGTGAGAGGCCCTAAACACGATGTGTTTGTAAACCGTTCCCTTATTAGATTCTCCTCCAATTATCCCATTTGAGAGCTTACCATCTGTCTCCTGCTGTTATTAAGAAAAAGTTTAGTGGTGCCTGCGTGGCTCAGTCAGTTGAGCATCTGACTTCTGCCCAGGTCATGCTCTCACAGTTTATGAGTTCAAGCCCCACATCGGGCTCACCGCTGTCAGCACAGAGCCCACTTTAGATCCTCTGTTCCCCTCTCTCTCTCTCTGCTCCTCCCCTGCTCGCTCTCTCTCAAAAATAAACATTAAAAAAAGAAAGAAAAAGCTTAACGAGTTTGAAGAAGAGAAAGAGTAAAATGGCTTAAGTGGGTAAGCGAGGGAGAGGTAATACAGCCGAGGCAGGGCCTAGCCCTTCAGGTAGGCAAGGACTAGATCACTATAGCCATTAGGGCTCTGGGTGGAGGAATGGAATGACGAGCAGCTGTATAAATGAAAGCACACGCATTACATTCATGCACACCTGTGTGAGCAAACCAGACAAGGAACCAAGGATGAACGGACGAGGGGCCTCTGGCCCTCTCGCCAGGCCCAGCCCGGTGGATTTCTGACGCCGTTTGTGCTCTTTACCTGGCAGGATGCTGGAGGGCCCGGTGCCGGAGGAGTCGGAGCACAGGTCCCAAGGGCCGTGCGCTGGGTCTTGCCATGCGCAGCGCCTTCTGCAGACCCTCAATGCGTACCGACTGAGCGGCACCTTCACCGACGTGGTGCTGCGCGCCGGTGGCCGAGACTTCCCGTGCCACCGCGCGGCACTCAGCGCGGGCAGCGCCTACTTCCGCAGCCTGTTCGCCGCGGGGCAGCCGGAGCGCGGCCTGGCCGTAGTGCCCGTGGCGCCCGTGGCCTCGGAAGCGCCGGGTGCGGAGCCTGGCGTGGCGGCG